CGGTCAAAGACAATAGTTTTCGTAGTAGATGTCGAGATATTCAGCAAGTCTTTCCGTCCTAGCAACCAAACTCTCAGCCATTTTGCACTTTTGCTACACACCTACGAAAAGTGTAGTTTCTCTTCAACTTTGTGACGAATGTTCTTTTCCATGGCACTGATTGAAATGCACTCGAATTGTTAAAGAAGTCATTATCTGTCGGTCTTTGATCGATCTGAAACAAATTGGGAGTGCTTAACATTTTAAAAGATTTGCTTTGACATTTGCGGAAAATTCAACATATTAGAGACTGTAGCTTAAGCGGGAAGAGTTAGACTAAAGAAAAATGATGAAGTGGAAGAGATCCGACCGGGGAGGAGAAATCTGCTACACTCATTTAATAGCAGATTGTCGCAGAACAGCTCGCTTAAAGATAGCGATTCACAGGAAATTCTTAAAGGTCACGAAGCCATCTTCGATATGAAATCTTAGAAGTGTCTTCAAGTTTACTGATCGCTATAGGATTTGTACAAATTAAACTTATATTTATCAATTGGAGTAGAAATGATCGCCTAGCGCCCGCTTTCATATTTGAACAATAGCAGAGGTTCATCCCTTGTTTCCTGTTTAGGATTGGGTTTCCGGTTCCTTTAAATTTGTACTTCTCACGTCACCGCTTGAAATATGGAAATTTATTAAGTCATTATTTCCTCTCTCAATGGAATAAGATATATTTTTTTTTGCCTATCGACCGGTTTACACTCCTCTCAGCTATTTTGAAGAGGAGCAGAAGTTTATCCCTTGTTTCCTGTTTATGATAGAGTTTCCGGTTCCTTTAACTATGTACGTCTAAATTCTGAAAATGTAATCAGTAATTATTTTCTCTCTCAACGGAAGTAGATATGTTTAGGCTCCTCTCAGCTATTTTGAATAGAAACAGAGGTTTATCCATTGCTTCCTGATTAGGATTGGGCTTCCGGTGCCATCACCGCTTGAAATCTGAAAATTTATTGACTAATTATTTCTTCTCTTAATGAAAGCAGATAGGATTGCCTATGGCCCGGTTCACTCTCCTCTCAGTTCTTTTGAACAGGTGTTTTATCCCTTGTTTCCTGTTCAGGATTGGGTCTCCGATTCTTTTAACTGTGTACTTCGGACGTCACCCCTAGAAATCTTAAATTTTATTCTGTTATCATTATTTTTTTTCCTAACCTAATTGGAGTAAGTAAGATGTTTATCGCCCTGTTCACACTTCCCTTCGCTCTTTTGAACTGGAGTAGAAGGTCATCTGTTGTTTCCTGTTCAGGATCGGGTTTCCTGAACCTACCAAAGTCTACGTCCACTCTATATTTTTAACGTCTCCACCTGAACTTTGAAATTTTATTTACTAATTATTTTTTGTACTTAATAGGTTAGCCTACTTTTGAGTTCACCCACCCCAAATTTTTTTTTTAATTGAAATATAGGTTTATCCCTTATTCACAGCTTAGGATCGGGTTTCCATTTCCGTCTAAAATCTTTTCATTTTCTTTTATTCAGCATCCCCTTGAGTCTTAGTGGCATTATCTCCTTGCTTGGGACGAATTGATTAAAACACATTCTTTTTACTGTTTCTCCATCCAATACAAGGAATTAGAGTCAAACAATTTGATTGCGATTGCGAGGGGAAAGTAAGAGATGTATATAATGAGAACGTGTAACACACACGCACACACACACATACACACACACACATACTAGGTGTAACGGCAAACTTGTCCAATTTTGAACCGGTGTATCTTAGAAATGATTAAAGATATATTACTGGAATTATCCGAGATTTTATATAACACTATTGGACACTACCTTGAGCAAGAAAAAATCGTGATGAAATTGATCAGGAACAGAAATGACATATTCATAATTAACTAACCATAGCTAAGAATCGGAAGCTTATGAATGATTGAAATATATATATATATATATATATATATATATATATATATATATATATTATAATATAAATTATTTCAATCATTATTTCAATATATATATATATATATATATATATATATATATATATATATTATTCCTGGATCATGTCCCCACTTATTCAAGATGATCTTCGCCCGCTCTAACCTTCTGACTTTCTGTCCTGTCTAACAGTTTTCACCAACGATTTCATTTCAAAGTCTTTTTTCACTGCTCTTTCGAGTTTCATAGCTGAAACTCATCTCTCACGTGCCAAGAGTCTTATGGATTGAGTTGGATCTTTTCTAATTGATTTCATTAGCTCTGAGTTGAAATGATGATCCCTCTTCCTGTTGTGACCTCCTGATCCAGTTTTCCTTTCTAATGTTCCCTCTATTTTTAAAACTTATTCACCGTTCTCTTCATGGTACTTTAATGGAGTTTGAAGATAGAAGCCAGAGTATGAATGTTGGTGCCATTACCGAAGACCTGAATGATTTTTCCTCTCACCATTGCTCATTTGGGAAGAGGTGGGGCTGACACAAAAAGATTTTACCTGAATGACTAAAATTTTTTATAGTGAATCTTACGATAAATTGTTACAAGTTAATGATGAACATGTCATTTTCGTTTATGATCGATTTCATCACGATCCTTCTGTTAAGCTTGGAATGTAATTATACATTCTTATTTCTCAGAGTGGTGTCCAACAGTGCTATAAGAAACCTCCTAGAATTCCAGTAAGATATCTTTAATCATTTCTAAGACACAGCGGTACAAAACTTAATCTGACAAACATACAATTTTGCTTTTACACGATTTGGACAATGTTGTCGTCACATTCGGTATATGTATGTAATTCCTATCTATCTATCTATCTATCTATCTATCTCAGTCTATTCATATCTATCTCAATCTGTTCATATCTATCTATCTATCTATCTATCTATCTATCTATCTATCTATCTATCTATCTATCTCAGTCTGCTCATATCTATCTATCTATCAATCTATATATCAATCTCAGTCTATTCATATCTATCTCAGTCTGTTCATATCTATCTATCTATCTATCTATCTATCTCAGTCTGCTCATATCTATCTATCTATCTATCTATCTATCTATCTATCTATCTATCTATCTACCTATCTATCTATCTATCTATCTATCTCAGTCTATTCGTATCTATCTATCTATCTATCTATCTATCTATCTATCTATCTATCTCAGTCTATTCGTATCTATCTATCTATCTATCTATCTATCTATCTATCTATCTATCTATCTCAGTCTATTCATATCTATCTCAGTCTGTTCATATCTATCTATCTATCTCAATTTTTCATATCTGCCTCTTTTCATATCTATCTATCTATCTATCTATCTATCTATCTATCTATCTATCTATTCAGTCTATTGATATCTATCTATCTCAGTCTATTGCTATCTATCTATCTATCTATCTATCTATCTATCTATCTATCTATCTCAGTCTCTTCATATCTATCTATCTATCTATCTCTGTTTATTCATATCTATCTATCTATCTATCTATCTATCTATCTATCTCAGTCTATTCATATCTATCTCAGTCTGTTCATATCTATCTATCTATCTATCTATCTATCTATCTATCTATCTATCTATCTATCTATCTATCTATCTATCTCAGTCTATTCGTATCTATCTATCTATCTATCTATCTATCTATCTATCTATCTATCTAATTTCATCCCAGAAATTTTATCTTCCTAATGAGCAACATATCAATCTTGTAAATGGCCAGGCATAAATATTGTTGGACAGTCTGGAAGAGTAACGTCTGTCTAGTTTGTGTGACGATCGAAGTGGGACGTAAAAAAAATGTCCGCGTTGTTGATCGGCGATCCAATTAAATAGTCCCGCCTGTCTGATATATCGCTTGCTATGAATAATCGAACACAAAATCAATACCGGATCACGGTATTCCAAGGACATGGTCGCTATTTCAACACGACAACATACTGATCGTATTCCGCTCAGTGTATAAGTGTTGTCTTTGGTGATTCAGCTTTCGGTGCAAGCAAGTCCAATTTGATTTTGATGTGTGTCTGTGACACCGTGTTTTTTTCTTCGTGTGTGTGTGCTTTTTTTAATCGGAATCACCCCAATCAAGACAATAAAGCCACTAAGACACAAAGGGTTACAGGGTGTGGAAGAATTAGGAACAGAAACATTAATGATGAGCAGGATGAGAAAAGAGTAACCAGGTGAACAGTAGATAGCGATGACGATATATCAACAACTGTTAATGTCGAAATCACTTTTTTTACATTGTTTTTTTCTTATCTGCCTATTTTTATGAGATGAGATATTGTAACTATTTACACTATTTATATTGTTCGGACTGTTATCCTCATCTTTGTTGCCAAATTCACGGCATTTCGGCCGTTATACGCTCCGGCCTTCTTCACGATCTGCCTATATTTCTGACATGAGGTAATGTAATTATTTGCACTATTTACATTGTTCGGACTGTTGTCCTTACCTGCATTGCAATATTCCCCACGTTTCGGCCATTGTACGCTCGGGCCTTCTTCAGGATCTGTCTATATTTCTGAGATGATGTATTGCAATTAGTTACACTAATTTACATTGCTCGGACTGTTGTCCTTATCTTTGTTTCCATATTCACGACGTTTCATCCATTGTACGCTCCGGCCTTCTTCAGGATCTGCCTATATTTATGAGATGATGTATTGAAATTAGTTACACTATTTACATTGTTCGGACTGTTGTACTCATCATTGTTGTAATATTCACGACGTTTCGGCCATTTCACGCTCCGGCTTTCTTCAGGATCTGCTTATATTTCTAAGATAAGGTATTTTAAGTATTTATATTATTTACATTGTTCGGACTGTTGTCCTTATCTTTGTTGTAATATTCACGACGTTTCGGCTGTTGTACTCTGCGGTCTTCTTCAGGATCTACCTATATTTCTGAGATGAAACGAACCCACTGAAATTGGAATTCAGCTCTCCGCAACAATTCTGGACGTTTCTCTATTATACCTGCGGCACATCCAAACTTACAGCACCGGATATTCCCAAGCGGTCAACCATCTAGATACTGTCTTGGCTCGATGTTGCTTAACTTCAGTGATCGTACAGGAACCGAGGATTCAAACATGACATGAACGTGAGTCATTTTATTTTTAAAAAATATATTTGTGTCTGTGTTCGATTCTCGGTAATGAATGCGCACTGCTGATGAGTCCCAAATATAGGACAAAACGGGCGTTCAGTGTTTTCTGCATTCTGTTGAGGTTTCTTCTCGATTCAATGAATTACTTAATTATCTATCTATCTATCTATCTATCTATCTATCTATCTATATATCTATAATATTATAAATTAATTGATTTAAAATATGGATTTTTCGCTACACAGTTCTAACTATGTTTCAAAAATGGAAGGTCCGAATTTGATTTTGTAATTAAATTAAAGACATTAGTTCCACTTCATCCTCAAGCGAATTTTGGAGTAATTTTTGGAGTAACTTTTTTTTTTTTTAAAAATTTACTTATTTGCTCTGTAAATTTACATTAAGCACTATTTTGTAAAAATAAAAATATCTATAAGAACACCGGATTATATATCTTACTGTTCTTTCTTTTATATATATATATATATATATATATATATATATATATATATATATATATATATATATTTATTCGAAAAATATAACATAAACATGTTATAAAATTATTAGAAAAATACCCATATTTGCAGAAAACTTCTAAGACACTAGAAGTGTTGAAACAAAATGGCTATTTTAGTAGTGATTCTTATAATATATTTATGTTATAATTTTCGAATAGATTATATTTGCTCTACTCTGCATTGAGCACTCTTTTAAGAATGGTATTTTTGAAATCTTTACACAAAAGCTTTCATGTTTCCATACTTTGATTGTACTTTTTCAGACGATGATAAGTAAATAGTGATTAAATGATTTTTAAGAGAATTTGAAAACAAAGTGCTACCTTTTTATCCGAAAGTTAAAGTGGGCCGGGTGGATTATAAGTCTCATTTTAATTATGATCCCTCTCACCTTTCGGAAAAGAGCACTTTTTTTAAAATAAATGCTACGAACAGTGGAATTGTACTCCATCTGATCTTTCTCTCATTTATATATATATATATATATATATATATATATATATATATATATATATAGTTATATATTTAGACAGCAATCCTTCCTTTATGCATGTTTTATTCAAAACTACAGACAAGTTAAGCTTTTTATATAATTTTTCCTCGGAAATATAAAACATTTGGACAGTTCTTACACACCCTTTGTCCAGAAAAGAAAGCTTTTGTTCGAATACAAGAAAAATTAAATATATATATATATATATATATATAATAAATTAATTGACTTAAAATATGTTTTTTTCGCTACACAGTTGTAACCATGTTTCAAAAATGGAAGCTAAAAGCCACGAATTTAATTTTTGTGATTAAATCAAAAACATTAGTTCCATTTTAAACCATATTTTAAATCAATTAATTTATAATATTAATGCTCTGTAAATTTACATTGAGCACTATTTTGTAAAAATAAAAATATCTATAAGCACACCGGATTATATATATATATATATATATATATTTGAGAAAAATCCCTGTAAATATATATATATGTGTGTGTGTGTGTGTGTGTGCGTGTGTGTGTGTGTGTGTATATACTAATAGAAAACAAATATATTAACTGCATCCACCTGCAAAAAAAGACTAAAAATAATGGAAACTTTAATAATAAAAAAGAAAAAGCCAATTCTTAGCAATATTAATTACGAACAAGGCTAACCGTATTCGGAAATTAAAAACATCTCTACAACACACTAAAACATACACAGAACGCACATACTCAATTAAGCTGAAAAATCGAATCATCCTTGATAATGGCTAAAGGTATAGCCGAAAGCGCTCGGAAATATAAAATATTCGGACAGTTCTTACACACCCTTTGTCCAGAAAAGAAAGCTCTTGTAAGAACTCAAAAAAAATTAAACATATATATATATATATATATATATATATATATAAATATATATATATAATATATATATATATATATATATATATATATATATATATATATATTATATATATATTTTATCGACAAAATCCCTATATATATATATATATATATATATATATATATATATATTCGACAAAATCCCTGTAAAAATATATATATATATATATATATATATATATATATATATATATATATATATATATATATATATATATATGTGTGTGTAGATAGATAGATAGATATGAGAGAGACAGAGAGAGAGAGAGATTTTTGTCGACTACTCAGTATAGTAGGTCCGTTGGGCACCGTGTGAGAGAAAAAGTGTACCATAATGCAATTCACGCTGCCAGAAAATGGAAATGGCATGTTGTACTTCTTGGCATTCGCGCTGGAAGCTCCAATACAGATATTTCAGTGATTTTTTTTTCTCAAACAGTGCAGAGGATTCGGAAAGAGTTGGATGAGTCTAATGATGATTACGAAGGTTTTTGAAGCAATCACTAGAGATGGTGACGTTGTGCCTCCATTCATCTTCGCACAGGGTCTCAAAATCAATACGGAGGCATACATTAAGGGCCTTGAGAAGGTAATGCAGCCCTAAGTCAAGAGAGTGGCTGCTCAAAGACACTGTGTCTTGCAGGACACTGCACCACTCCACATAAGTTGGAGAACCCAGTCATGGCTGTCAAACAATTTCTGTGACCACATCACGGCTTTAAATCTGTTCACTTAACTCCCAAGACTGCTACCCCTTAATTGTTGTGTGTGGAGCACAGTTGAGAGAGAGAGTAACACCAAAGTTGAACTGAAGTCAAGGATTATGGTAGAATTCACCAACTTAAACATGGAGACCGTCCAGAAGACTGGCAGGACATTCTGAAGCCGTCTCGATGCCGTGGTTGAAGCCAACAGTGATTTTATTGAATAAATTTACTCTTTAGTATTTCAAGATACTTTTGTGTAGTTTTGGTAAATATATCTGTTAACACGTTGCGACAGCTCTTAGAGAGATTTTTTTTGTAAGCATTTCACCCCAAGCAAGGCGGAAAGCCACGAGCACGCAAGGGGTTACAGAGGGTTGGAGCGAGAGCAAAGAGGAGTGATAGAGGAAAAGATGAAGAGAAGGATAGATCAGGGCATCTGAAGACGTCGATTGACATTTTATTTTTAAATAGTTGGAGATTATATATAGATATTATAGCTATCAGGGAAACAGGAAAAGGGAAGGGAGTTCCACAGGCGAGAAGTGTGAGATATGAAGCTATTGGAGCAGAAGAGACGGCTACATTTAACAGTTTTAACAGTGAAAGCGAGATGCCAGCCTAGTTGAACGCTTAAATTCATGAGGTCTGGGAACCAGCGAAAATAGCCCTTCGGAGCAGTTACCGGGAAAGTAAGCAAACGGACAGAGAGATAGAGCCTGGTCAATGCTGTCAGAAATACATTCGATTACATCACAGTCTTGGGGGGATAGAGAGCGATAAAGGAAGAAGATGTAGCTTACAGCATTGTGAAGAGATAGCCAAAGAGACGTGTAGGAATGGTTTGGAGATTCAAGAGACAACTCTCTAGCCAGCGGGAGATGATCCTTGACGTAAACTCCAAGGCCATGCATGTGGGTTTTAGAGTCTTTTTTAAGGAGAGGAAGGTAGCCGGTGATCGAGAGGTCAGAGGAGGGGATAGACGAGTCAAGGTTGGTCTCACACAGAGCCAGTATATCCGGGCAGTTCGCAATGAGGAAAGATTCCACACTGCAGAAATTGGTTCTAATGCCACGGATGTTAGAAAAAGAAATGGCGATGTGATTAAATATACTTTATTGTTTAAAAGAAATTTATTCATTACTAGCAGTAGAGCCCGGCGTTGCCCCGGGATGTAACAGTAAGAGATAGATCAAGTATCGACCATCATAAAGACTGAAAAATAAAATTGGCAAAGATTATTGTTTAAGGTTGACGGACACGCATGTCTTAATTAGTTTTATTTTTCTTTTTTTTCTTTTACGAATTGGTCAAACCCAAACTCAAACAAAAACATTGTTTTCAATCGTTATGAGTCTACCGATTGAATAGAATTTTATTATAAACGATTGTTTTGTAAATGGAATTTTTAAAGCATTCTGAATGTAAAAATAAAGAAAAAAGTGTGCAAGACAATAAGAAACACTACCTACCAAAAAAAAGTGAAGTTTTGTTGAAATCGGTTGAAAAATGTAGGAAATCCGATCTAATATATAAACGAACACACACACACACACACAAAAAAAAACAACCTGGGTTTTATAATAAGTATAACTCGATATGAGTTGTCCCCCTTTCATTGTGGCAACAGTGATGCCTCTTAATCGTGTTTTCAAATTGATTTTGTGCATAAACAATTGTGTTTTTCCCATTTTTGGCGCTGTCAGAACCACCGCAAGGTAATTCTACGTAGTCCTGTGAAGTTTTGTTGAAATCGGTTGAAAAATGTAGGAAATCCAATCTAATATATAAACGTACAGACACACACACACACACACACACACAATCTGCATTTTATAATAAGTAAGATTATTATTGTTTAGATAATAAGCATTATAACATAGCATAAATAGCTTTATTGTAGAAAAAGGAATTTTCAACAATATACGCATTTTTTACGTATTTATCGTTATTTTTTTTTACTTTTGTCAAAAATAACATTCTTGTACATGTAGTTATGGATAATACTACACATTAATTAATTAATTAATTAATAACTATGTTCAGTTGTTACACATTAATATCTATATGTGTTAAACTTTTGGCATAATGCAATAATAAAAAATTTATCTTTTCATCTTTCTGACAGATGTCGCGATCTGTAAAAAAAGATGCCAGTGTTATTGTCATTTTTGCGCCATTTAGACCAAAATTTACCCATTGACCCTGCATATTTAAACAACACCCGTCAATATACAAACCGGAAAATCTTTTCACACATATATGAGGTATTAAAAACAAAATCCAAATTATACAAAAATATGATAGAAAATGGCGAAAAAACATCAGCCTACAACAATAAATCCAAAACCTGAAAACTCTGTCTGGAGGAAGTAGTTATAACCACT